TTTTTTTTTTTTTTTTTTTTTTTTTTTTTTGATTTGAAATATTCACAAAATTAAGCTGTACAAAAGCGTGCGGACTTATTGCGGCTTTGATTTTTGCATTTTTCTGTGCTGTTTTGCAATTCTGATTAACTGATGAATTGCTGAATTGGAAAAGAAAAGTCTCAAGAAAAATATTTTCGATGCGACAGGACTGTTGAAATGCGCAGATGTATGAGATTGTTGTTGGAGAAGAGGTAGATAATCAAAACCAAGCATAGAATATTGTTTTCAATTTGGAGATGTTCTGGTATCGCTCACCAAATCATTAAAACATGTTGTTTTTGTGTAATAAACTAAAAAGTTACAAACAATTGGTTGACGACTGTTGTCTGTTGGTGGTATGCCCAGCGGGCATTGGTAACGCCCGAAAATTGACTAGAAGTGTGCATCCGCTCCGCTTCAAGACTATTTAAGCAGCAATGTTCTTTTCGAGAATCCTTTTCAAAGAAAAAAGAGAGAATATTTTTTTTTTACTTCTGCTTTCTACAATTTTTTTTTTCTGTCAGGGAGGGAGCTGGGAGAGCAATGACACCCATGGCAACCAATGACAAGAAAAAAAAAACAATTTTTGTTATATGATCATTATCCATCCATCAGTTGCCACTTTTTTTTGCTCTGAGAATAATCACCCCTATAAGCCAGACCGTTTTTTGTCTCTCTATAGATACCAAAAAAATTTAGTCAGGAAATCTTACAACCAAATTTTTTTTTGTTGCAGGAGATTTTATTTTGTGGCACTTCGTTCAAGCATTAAACTCCTCCTATTTTAATCTGTCTGTTATTTTGATTCATGAAGGCTTTCATAATCCAGTAACTGTTCTTGCAAGTTCCTTAAAAAACAATCAACTATAACAGTTTTGTTTTCAGCAGTATGCCGAGGTGCTGTGGCGGCCGTATTGCCACTTTTTTGACTGTTGGTATTTCGGTTACCTTATTTGTCCTCTGTACCACCTATGTTCCACTTTTAATGAATAAATTAAACGCATTGAGTGATTCTCTGCGTGATGGAATCAATGAATTTGATGTATATGAAGAGAATGCTTGGAAAGAATTGAGAACTTTGCGTAAAACATCGGTGGAGAATAGAGTCAAACGTCAAACTCAAACAGCATGCAGTTAGTGGCTTATTACTTTCAAAAAATTTTTGGTAACATAAACATCACTACTATAATTTTTTATAATAATTATTTGTCTAGATTGTAATAACGAAAACCGTTGTCTGGCTGGACCACCCGGCAAACCAGGCATACCAGGTTTAGATGGCTTTCCGGGTAGAGATGGGCCGCCAGGATTACCTGGTCTTCCTGGAATTAGAGTTGACACTCAAAATGGACCACCTACAGGATGTCGACAGTGTCCTCCGGGTCCGAAAGGAAATCCTGGTTTCCCAGGTGTACCAGGACCTCAAGGAAATGAAGTGAGTACCGTTAGAAGACTTCCTATATGAAGCACTGTTCTTTAGTGGAAGAAAAAGTTTTTGCGACTTGCAGTGTAATAAAAATAATCTATTTGGTGAATTTAATCCTAGATAAATAAATACAAACTAAAAGGTGCTAATTAAAAATTTTATTTTTGTTGGTTTAATTTCAGGGACCAGAAGGACCGCCGGGCCGAGAAGGTCGTCCAGGTGCACCTGGACCACCAGGATCACTTGGAGAAAATGGAGAATCTGGCGCTCCAGGTTATATACAAATTATAATTGAAAATCGATTGTATTGTAATCAGACAAATAATTTAACTGGTTGAAGTGTAATCGTTAATGTTTACAGGAAGACCAGGAGAACCTGGACCGGCAGGACAAGAAGGAGTTAGAGGTGAACGTGGAGAACCAGGACCGGCAGGACCAGCAGGTGAAAAAGGAAAACCAGGCACTCCAGGCTTTCCGGGCAACCAGGGATATCCTGGTTCTCAAGGACCACCAGGTGAACCAGGACAACAGGGACCTCCTGGGCCGCCTGGCAAACCTGGTTATCCTGGCGCTAGCGGAATATCGGTTTGTGAAATACCTTTTATTTATTTATGCATTAAAGTTTTACTTTTCATTATAATTTAATTTTTCTGTTCGTCTTTTTTAGGGAAGACCTGGTGATGATGGAAATTACTGTCCATGCCCTCGGCGTCCTACTTTTCTTCGATCTAGAAGTTAAACTTTCATAGCATTGCCTAACTGTAGTACTGCCATATGATCATTATTGAAATGCAGTTGAAGTAGAACTGTTTTTATTTATTAATGTTCATGTATTAATAATAAAAATGACTAACATTATGGGAAAAAAAACAAAAAAAAAAATCTATATGTAAAAGTCAGCACATCACTGCACGATCATAACAGCCATTTGGAAATAATGGTAAAAAGCTTTTCTACTTGCATTTAATGAACAAAAAAAAAGTGGTTTAGAGTTTTATTCAATTTTTTTTCTTTTTTTTGTTTTTAATTAAGAAAACTGAAAAATTTTCATCAGTTAAAGCAGTATGGGTGCATATTACTGTTACTCAAAAGTCTTGTAATAAATTCCCTTGGAATTTTTTAGCGGTCGGAAGAAAAGCGCAAGAAATTTTTTATCTTTTATTCTTTATTAAATCTGTGTGGTACAACGACAATTCTAACAAGACATAGGCGCTTAACAAAAAATAAAATAGCTAATTTATCAGCAGAAAGACATAGAGATCGATGTATACATATTAAAAATATCATATAACTTTGATGACGTTTGTTATAAGAAAAACCCAAGTAAAAAATTACAAAAAAAATTTAACAACATTCAACAATTGATTATAAAGATCAATTTTTGCAGAAAAGATACAGAACTGTTTATATTATATGTATAGGTTATACAATAATCGGTCTTATCAGCACACTAAAAAGCCAAAAAGACATTTCTAAGGCTATTGTAATGCACAGTTGCTGCAAAAAATAATATCTGCTGTTTGCCTGAAAAAAATTGAAGTCTGCTCAATATAAGTTAAGTTCAAGTACCTATATATATTTCAAGTATATTTTCAAACTTCAACTGTTCTCTATAGTCTTCTTCCTCCTTTCTTTATAACTCTACGAAAATTTGTTTTATGCGGATTGATGCTGTTCAAAAAAAGAGCAGTAGAAACTTATCGGTTACTATGGTTCCCCAAAAAATTGCTTTAAAAAGCAAACGAAAAAAAAAACAACTATTATGAACAAAATTTTTTCAAATGATAAAACTATAACGACGATGGAGTTGATGACTGTTGTACTCCTCCACATAAGTACCAAGGCCGCCACTTTCGTCGCACCAATGGTTGCAGTAAAGCTGCAAAAACAAGTTCATTTATCAGATGTTGCACGACATCGGGTGATTATCAAGCTCTTAAATTATTTAATGTTTTATATTAGACTGAAAGTGTAAAAAATTATGAAACATACGAGTAACAAGTTTGAATGTTGGAGCTACTGTAGTGGTAGACAGTGTCACTGGAATACTATTGGTTTTCACTGTTGAATTTGCTTTTGTCCAAGCAGTTATTGTTGTGGTTTTTATTAACTGTTTTGGCATAGCCGTTAAACGTATCACTGTTTCAGCTGTCGGTGGTTCAACTAACGGAGAAACTACAAAAAAAAAAAGAAAAGAAATTTTTTTCTTGTCTATTTGTTGTTGTTTCTTTTTTTTATGTTAACTAAATGACCAATTTAGTTGGTCAATTTGAATATAGCCGTTAAGCAGTTAATTGTTCAAGTTTCATACCTTCCCATTCGACATCAGCTACCGGTGTTGTCCAGGTGGAAGTTTGGTTACTAACAGTAGACTGTTCATCACTGTGACCACCACGTGTTACAGCTATCTGATTTTCTAATCCAAGTGCGGGAAACTTTTTGTCAATCATTGTTTTAATTTTATTTGGTATTGTTGATGAAATTGGGAAAATTTTATGAAACAGTGAAAAAACAGTGATTGGACGTGACGATGCTTGTGGTGCCAACGATGGATAAGCTTTAGGTCTATAAGCTGAAAACTCAATATTTTTTAAATAGTATACATCATAGTTTTCTTTTTTGATTTTTGATAAGCTTAATATTTTATTAATTTTAATAGCTTTTTTTGATTTTTTAAATAAAATATATATTATACCTTTTTTCTTTCCTATTTTCTTCTATGTTCTTTTCTTTTTGTTTTCGTTTAGTAGTCGTTAAAAAATAAAATAAAATAAAATTTTTTTTGATATATATTTTAGATGGGAAAGTTTTCACTATATTGATGTTTGTTCATAAAGCAAGAAAAAAAGCTTTGTACACATCAGAATAAATTTAGATACAGCAAAATTCTTACTGGTTGATTTCATCCGAGAATATTTTGGAGTCATGAAATTTGAATATTTGGTATTTTTAAATTTTTTATTCGGCGTTGTTATCCAAAGCTTTGGCATTGATGTTGTGGCTTTGATGCTCCAGATTCCCTCTGTTTTTGGTGTCTACAATTACGCAGACAAAATTTATTTTTAGCTAATAGCTTAAAGTAGTTTGAACTTAAATAGTAAAAAAATTTACGTAAATTTTCTAGCTAATTTTATGTCATCTTTTTTTTTCTACATATTAAACTCAAGCTGAATAATTACGCCAACAGAAGTTCTGGTCAAAAGAACAAAGTCGATTGAAAAGTTTATGCGATATGTGAAAGCGTCAGTTATAATTGATTTTTAACCGATTTTACGCGCAATTAATGGAGGCGTTAGAATCGTTTACAGCTCATAAGTCAAAGAATTTTTTCAAAACAAAAAATGAAAAAAATTTGTCAAACTTTTGTCATAAGATTATTGTTGTTAATTTGAACAACTGAGGCTGTCGGTTTACCAATCTCAATTGATCGTACCGTTGATGTCATAATAACTTTGTCTAAAAAATTTGATTAACCAAGTATAAAAGTATTGCAACTGAAATGCTCTTAGTTCGTTCTTTTCCCCTCCCCTTTGTCGTTTCTGAAAATCAGAGAACAAATAATTTTTTTGTCGTACATTTGTCATCAGATTGTAACTTCCGCTTTTTTTTATTTACTTTTTTCTTCGCATTTTAAATCCAAATAATTTTTTAAATAAACTTCAAGAGAAAAAAGGCATCATTTTTAACAGATATTATTGGCTGCATATTACTGCTGCTGCGGTGACAGGTCTAACAATAATCTAACTAATTTTTTCTTTATCTACAACAGGATATGATCTGAAAAAACTGCATGAAGATCTATTTCCCAAAAGGAAAAACGATAAAAATATAAAATTTTAAAAAACTATTGACAGAGAGTTGCCGGCAATAGTTGTATCAGCAGTTTCAATAGCATTATCCTCCATTTTATCAATAAATCTGTTTAAAATCATTACCTTTGGTTATATGTTTTTTTCTTCCGTTTCGGTATTTTTTGTCAA